ATTTTACACGCGTTGTGTACGTTGCTATGAGTTCCATATCGACCACGTGGCGGCGCGACGACCACTTGTTGTTATCATGATCTGTATTAAAGTGTGAATTCCACATGAAACACACTCACAACTGTAAGGAGGCGAGTTATTATACATTTTGAGCATATGTATACAATATTCCCCATAATAAACAATTAAACAACACACCCCTTAATTATAGTGATTATACCTTCGAGCGATGTCTTCTTACAGTACTCGGAGTAATCGGTTGGTCGGACTTCATAAGGAGGTTTGAACCAGTCCGGAATTTCAAGATAGTATGGTTTCGGGTAGCTGCCGATCACAGCGGTACGTAGCGGCATCGTGTTCACCACACCACTCGTTGTTTTACACTAAAATATCATATTCATTTCGTTGTGGGAGATTATGGTTCTCCAGGAATAACTGCCAATTATTTGTGGCATTATTTGTGAGGCTGGTACTCGATTTTTACCATATTCAACGGTGGCAGATTATACCAGAGAGATTACTCATCTAATAATAACTAGCGATAGTGATACGTGTATAGTTAGCATACAGAAACACGCCCCCAATAATACAGTGACACTGAAATCATGGTACGTAGTCATACCCAGAGAACACTATTATACTATCTCATTGAACGGTGTATTATAAAGGCCAAATTAAAAATAAATGAACAATAAATATTTTAAATACTTGTCAAATAAATCGATGGCTATGACTTTTGAATTTGTTTGTTCATGTTGATTGATCATTGAAAAGCTCGGACTGTATACTTCAAGTGAATTGAGGATAATAATGTAACACGCCTAACATTTCTCTGAATTAATTATTAAATAAAATGATACTGGAATTCCGGTTTGTTCAGTGATAACTAATTTCCAATCAAAATAATTCATGATTAATAAATACAACTACAAATACATTGATCCATAAATTAACACAAACCGTAACAGTGTAACCGTATTTAAAATACTACAAAGAAACGAAACAAAAGAATGAATGAATGAATAAATAAATAGAATATTCATGAATATTAATTCAATCAAATGGATTTAATAAATAAGGCGATTATTTAAAAATATGCAAAGAATAGTTCTTTTAGTAGATCACTGGCCGCGTGTTCTTGTTTGTGATAGGTACCGACCACGTTGTGAGATCGTGTCATTCGGTTAGTAAAAGTCTCAAATGGCTACTCACAGGCATGCATAATGTGCCGCTCAAAATGTGTTACTTTTCCCGAAAATTCACTATATATTGGTCCACTGAAAAATATCCCTAGACAGAAGTCACATTTCGAAGAACTAAAAAAATATTTTTAGGGTAAATTTGGAAACATGTTCAGGAAAATTGCGCAATTTGTACAGATAAACGACTTTTTTGTCCCAGGGTCGATGTTTCGCGTTTGGGCGGCAGACCCCTAGTCAATTTTCTTTAGTACCCTGCTCATGGGGCTCTACACTATTTTCAGTACTATATTAGGTATCTCGTATTTGTAGTGTATTCAACGGTCTTTATCCTCGGCTAAGCGTCATTTATAGATTGACTGTGTAGAGGCTGTTATCCGACAATTGTGGGCACCCAACAAGTGACTATAAAAGGTATTCACGACAATAAATAAAATTAGGCTCGTCGCATTTATGTTGTCACAGCTTTGAAACTTCTGTCATATCTCTTTATTGTGGGATTTCCCTGTCGTCTTCGTCATTTAGCTAATACATTTTGACTCTTTCTAGAATGTGTGGTGATATAGTCAGACGCATTGTCGGGTAGTTTACGGTTTAAAATTTTGAATAGCGACGGTGTTGGTGTTTTTTTCTCGGACCAAAAAATAAGTACGCTGTTGTGTTTTCCCTTTTATGGGCGATTTCAAAACGTGGGGGAGCACAGTTTGGTTATCTGTAGTCATGTAGGCGCGTTTATTTCTACGCTTTAAGACACCCAAGCTCGTTGGGCCGATTGAAAACAGTGATTATTAAGATAATAAAACGACAGCGCTTGACATCAAACCCATGTATATTTAGAGGGCGTACCATTTTACGGCAAAAAGTGGAAATATTCTCGATTTATTCTTATTCCATCCCACCACTATATAGAAATCACAATGACGGGTGAGAATATAATTCTGTGTCAGAACCGGAGAATGTGCAAATTATTTCCTATTAGTAAACCGTATCATTATAAAGCAATAACATTTCCCCGGCTGCGAAAGACTTTTTAGCCTCGGTGGGTGGATGTCGAACTACACAGTTTTACGTGATAACACAGCTTTTTGGGGATGGACGAAATGATAGACGAAACGCAGTCGAGCCAATTATTCAAACGAAAATTCGAGTTGTGCTATCACGCAATAATGGACAGTGTGGGTCTTTTATTTCAACTATAATACCCCGGAATGCCAGAAAAAATAAATATACGTGCAGAATTGCGTGTTACACGTAGAGTAGCTCACCAGCAGACGACCTGCAAATGAGTAATTTTAGAAAACAAAGTAACCTTGAAACAAAACGTGCAAAGAAATTCAGGGATACATTGATCATAGTTGTGTCAAACACAATCTTGTTTGTATGTTTGCGCATTTACTCCAAACACCAGTTATCGTCTGATCACAGGGCTGCACGTGGTACCAATCGACCAATGATAAAGCGGGGTTTCACTGACAGTCAGCAATCAGGTAATATATTCTAAATAATAAATATATCTCAGACGTTGAAAACTATTGTAAATTATATTGGATACAGCATTATATATTTACTATTAATAGTTTCTAATTGTTTTTTTTAATAATATAAGATCTTTATTAACTGATAATGGTCATCGGCCGTGGCCTAAAGAATAATAGAAGAATAAATAATAATTATAAAAGTTACAAACTAATAAATAATGAAACTCATTTTTAATAGAATTCATATTGCAATGCTCGCACGTACGCTGGTTTCTTTCTAGATGACCTCTGTCTTTTTCAATTCGTGATGAACATCGTACTAGCCGAGCTAGTAATTACATATGCATTCGAATATGAAGAGAAGACAACTATTTGTCTCGTTCCATGGTAATTTTAAACTGACAGTAAGTATCTAACTTGTTTAAAGTACACAATTCAGCCTGTCATACCAAGGAATGATACTGTTTGAATGTTCTACAAATATATTGATAACGCATTAACATTTCGAATTTCTTGCTCATGCCAGGTATCATTCATATTACAAATGGAAAGTAAATTTTGGATGTGTATATATATTGTATACGATATTGTAACATTTCTTGGGGTACCTTGAATTTGCCATGGAAATGATTTTTACCCAATATTTAATGCAGCGTTTTGCTGTATACAGATAAATATCATGTCTCCCACATTCTCCTAGAATACTACTATTTGGTTATATATTAGAAACACCAAGAAACATTCTACAGACAAGACATTGGACTCGTTCCAGATGTTTAAATTATTTCTCTAAAACCCCAAATTTACGCCCCATACGTTAGTATTGGTAGTATCATTGTATCAAAGACCTTAAAGTAGGTTCTGTAGGATAGAAGGCGTAAACAATTCAGAGCTTTAAATGAACAAATAAAAGTGTTTTTTCGCTTAGTACGCCAATATTTCTGTCGCCATTGACCAGTGTAGTCTACAGGAGAACATAATTCATAATTTTAGTTTGAAACAGTGTGGACCTCCATCCCTCCATAAACTCACTTTTCATCTTTTGATAAATGTCCCCCGCCCTTGAAAACAACAATTTTGGTCTTATCCAAGTTTACAGACATAATAATTGTTTTTAATAACTACGTATTGAGCCATTCATGGTAAGGACTTGGCAGCTTTCACCATATTCTGTAACTTTTTCTTAAGAATGTCCTTCGATAGAAACCCCAGTCCACAGTCAGGCGCCACCAGTAATCTCTCAGCGGGAATGTACTTCAATGCCTCAGACAGTCTACTACGTATCTCTTCCGTAGTCTCCACATGACTTCTAGCTACGGCAACGACTCCCAGAACAACTTGTGATTTCTTGAAGAGCTTAAGAAGACTCAGGTCATTGTGTCTATGCGCATCTTCAATGGAAACTGTGAATATAATTAAAAGGAGGACATGATTTCTTGATGTAAGTAACAAGGGCGACGAGGGTCCTCCTATAGTCACGCTCGAGCCGATCTTTTTTACTACAATTTTAAGGTTTTCAAACATTTTACCAAAATTTAGGCCATTGTTGGCGGAAACACCACTTTTTGAGCTAAAAACACCCCAACGTTGGTGTTTTGGGGACCAGTTTCCATCTGGCTACAAAGCTTCAGACACGGGGGATGTATACCCCCACCATCGCCGCCAACTGCTATTGGAGGTAGTACGGTGATATGACTTTAGTTCTCAAGAGACAAAATAATTGAAATAACCTACTTTGATCAAACCCTGCTTCATCTAGCTTGCTTGCAAGGCGAAAATAGCTCTGCAAATCAGCCTTCAAGTACTTCTCTTCATTCTGTAATAGACATACGAATAATGGTTAGTTAGTGCACCCGAATTCGCGACTGGGCTAATAAGGTACATCATTTAAAGTTTTGTGACCGTCACATTTATTACTTGGTGATTATTTAAAATTTAGTATAATTGCCCTCATATCATTTGTTTACACAAATTATTTAATTCTACGTAATTTCAGTGGAGGAAAATTAAATTGATTACACCATACGAAGTTAATATCGTAATCCCAAATTGCCCGTAACAAAGATCATACGTTATGCCTTACTAAGTGAGTGGGGTATCCACAGCACAGATGGACTGTCTTCACTACGTCCTTCCCAACTCCATCAAAACACCTCGTAGCATGGTCTATCCCATACTTCAATGCAATATCCGGATTTCTTGCGAAAACTGGCTCGTCTATCTGGATGTTGCGGCACCCTAACATAAAACAAGTAAACGATCAACAATACCACAAAGTTGGGGATAACGAAAGTCCTGAAATAGGTGTATATAAAAAATATGTTGTTTGGTATAAGAATATTTATATATATATAACTTGGTTTTCTGTAATAGTTTAGTGACCAATACCTCGTAGTTGGAAGTATATGTGTCAGAATCTGAAGCAAACTGACTAAAAGCGCCACAAAAGCATGCAATTTATTTATTTTTACATCAACTTTGATGTACTAAAAGAGATAGAATATACATATATAATATGAGGTTTTTTACGAAGATAATGCAAAGTATGCACGAAGACAGTACAGCGGGGTATCGACCGACGCGCAGCCTGGGTGCGTACTTCGCAGTATCCTCGTAATAACCTTAACATTATACATCTTTTCCTACCAGAATAGATTTACAACAGAATTAGCGAACTTCTTTGTGTGGGGTTCGGTCAAACCCTGGAGGCAGCCATGCGGGTGATCGTTCCACAATCGGAATTCGTGTTTGAAAAAAGACTTTGTTAATTATACGTTTTGAACCTAAATCAAAATATGACACCTCATTTGAAAGCCATGACTTTTGTAGAAAACAGCGAACTTCTTTGTGTGGGGTTCGGTCAAACCCCGGAGGCAGCCTTGCGGGTGATCGTTCCACAATCGGAATTCGTGTTTGAAAAAAGACTTTGTTAATTATACGTTTTGAACCTAAATCAAAATATGACACCTCATTTGAAAGCCATGACTTTTGTAGAAAACTATTTACCATTTTATTCCAGAAAGTATGTTAAAATGTCACACTTAAAATTATTTCAAACTTTTTTTAATTTATAATATAAATCAATTTCACTGTTAACATAGGTAAAATTTATATTATGAGTAGCGTTATTAACTTACAGTAACAATTTGACAGTTTCAATATTACCTGCATTTACCAGCCCTAGAATTTGTTTGTTGATTACTTTCATCAGGTCTTTACTCAACTCTTCGACATTACTGTAATATTCGT